GACCTGCGGGAGGATCCAAAAAGTAGATCCCCTAATTTGGGACCCTCACTACTAAAGGGTGCTGTATAGGAACACCCTTAAAGGATCTACTTTTTGAAGTTTTGCGGGGGTCTGGGATTGGGAAGGCGAGGGACGGCCACTTCAGCCTTCACGACGCACCATCCTCACTTGGTTTAGGGTCTAGGGTTTAGGGGTTTCGGGTTTAGGGTCTAGGGTTTAGGGTTTAGGGGTTTGGGGTTTAGGGGTTTAGGGTTTAGGGTCTAGGGTTTAGGGTGGCTTAGCCCGACCCAGATCTTGACTGTCACCGCTTTCTGCAGGCCCAAGAGTTCAGGGCTGGGGTTTAGGCGGGTTAAGGTATCAAGGTTAGAGATGTAGGCTTTTAAATCTGGGCTTGAGCACTGGGGTGCGCGGCTTCTTGCTCAGGATTTGGGGCTCGGAGACCAGGGCGTGTGATGGTGCAATCCTCGCCTTGAGAAGCCTAAGTGAGGTTGCTGTACAGCTAGATCTGATTGGGACTCACTTGATTTGCGTAGACGTGTATGTGTATCTGAGACAGGGAACATATATCTATATATATATATATGTATCTGTATGTATGTGCGCAAACCTACGAGTGTTACAACACCCAGACCTACCTACCTACCTACCTACCTACCTACCTACCTACCTACCTACCTACCTACCAGGAAAAAAGTCCTGGCTGAAAACCTGCGGAACGCAGCGATGCAGGCTCTCGTCTGCAGGCGCACATGATCCCACGTATCTCAAGTCACTAGTAGTCACTAGTAGTCACTAGCCGATACGACCCCGGCTCTCGCCCTCAGCCGGCAATGCTAGGCTCCACAGATTCTGGCGCAGCACTCTTTTGGACCGGAGTGAGCTCAGGCTGCACGCGTTGAACCGCCGGAGTCAATGTCAGGACTCTGCCTGGACGCCCTTCTCGCAGACTCGACACTCTGGAAGGCGGCGTAGTCTGAAACAAACCTCCGCGTGGTCACCTGCCTCGCTCTTTGCTGATGCAGCTGGTGTAGTTAGGCGCTTCCTCTTGCCACAACTTGGATCGAATCATATCGAGCAGAAGGGTCGACGTGGCTTGGGAGCGGGACAAGCGCACCAACTGTGTCACAGGGCCACTGCCAAGGATTGTGGGCAGTGAGGATCGGAGCCGTGGCCGCGAAGCGACTGCAGGAGCCTCCTTCCTGCCCGAAACCGCATCAACCACACGATGTTCGTCCCAGTAGCTTGCTTCACTTCGTCGGGGCTCATGTCAGATGTCAACATGTTGATGGTCTTGCTGACGTCGGAGCGAGTTCAGACCTAGCAATGCTGGTGTAGTTGCCCTCCGTTTGCATCGACTCGCCACACCGCGTCCCTTGCGAGGGCCTGCTCAGACTCGGACCTTCACGACCCTCAGTCAAAGGGCACCCATCGAACCCGTCCGTCTTCAAAAGGGACGGCCATCATAAGCTTAAAAGCGATAATTTCATTCTTCTCGCTGGGGAGTGGGGGTAGGCTGTGCCAGGGTGTCGGGGTCTGTGGTCTCTGACTTCCGTATCTTTTCTCATAGGCCCTGTTCATCAGCTCGTGAGCGACATTCTTTCCTGAACACCTGCCGGGCCAAGGCATCTGGCTGTCTGCACATCAGAGACATCTCGGCTTCACATCAGTATTGTCCGCCTGTTTACTGTTTCTGCGTTTTGACACGGGTAGCACTGCAACTACCTCTATCTAGGCAGAGTTGTTTGCAAAAGTCCCGCCTGTCGTCAACTTTTTCCCGGCCACAACAGCAGCTGCTGCCCATAGCCGCGACTTGGTACGGGAATGGCGTGGCTCGAGTCTCAATCTGCGGTGCGGCGAAGCTGATGTTACGAGCCCCCTCCTTGCAAGAGAGAAAACTCGTCAGATGATGTTGGGCAGCTACGGAGAAAGTCATTGCAGCGGTTTCAAGCATACCTACATACATACATGCATGCATGCATGCATGCATGCATACATACTTACATACCTACCTACCTACCTACCTACCTACCTACCTACCTACCTACCTACCTACGTACCTACCTACAGATACATACATAGGTACATCCCCAGCCCCGAACCCGAAAAAGCCCTACGAAGACCCTGAGTCCTCAAAAGCCCCAAATAAACCCTAGTGTCGGGGAACTAAGTAAGTTCAGGGTTCAGGGTTTGGGGCTTGGCGGGGAACTAAATAACTTTCAGCAGGGCTGTGTAGGGTTTGAGAAAGGTCTGATAGAGCTTGATCGGGCTTTCATATAGACTTGGCCTATATTCTAATCGATTCTCTCGTCGTTCTAACGGGATGTACTTATCGATTCATTCGACTCCTCAACTAAACTCAGCCCCGAGACAGCAAACCTTCCCCGCCTCTGACTGGAGATCGTCTTGGTCACTAGCTGAGCTGCTTCCTGCGACATTTAGGGCTTCCCTAAACCCGGAAAGCCCTAAACCCTAAACCTTTAGGGGTTGGGTTCATACAACTGAAACTGTGGAACAACAAACCGAAGAACCAAGAACGGGCCATAAACCTCAGGCGGAGGTTCGAACTTAAGCTCGGACGAGAGTAGTAACTTAGTTGCCTGAATATTTCATTACCACTACTGTTGCTTGGGGCTCCTTAATATATATATATATATATATATACACATACTATAGTAAAAGCCTGTTCTACTCAATCATTCAGGGCCCCATACAGCATATGGAACCTCTTGTTTATTATGAGGTTAGAACCCCTTCACCACATCTTGTGCAGTTAAACTCTGCAACGCGAAACCCAAACCTTGCCCACTGCTTATACAAGGGCTACAGGGGGATACCATTAGCAATTTATTCCGACATCTCGGGTAGGTCCTTGGCACTGCACTGCAACCCAGGAACGTCTTGCAATACAACTTCAAATCCATGACAAATCCCGCAGCGCAGCTCACTGATTCGGCAAAGCCTTGCCTTAAGCCCCTCATTCAACCCCAAACCTGAAAATTGAAACCACAAACCTCTGTCCCTACCTTAAGAACCCAAAACCCACTTTTTTGTAGGTTTTTTTATAAACCCTAATATTGGATTTATAGGGACCCTACAAAAAAGTAGGTTTTGGGTTCTTAAGGTAAATCCTAGACTCCGAACCCTCGGCGCACCTGAATATCTTGTTTCAATGGCCAAAACCCTAAACCCTAAACCCTAAACCCCAAACCCTAAACCCTAAACCCTTGACTCCGAACCCCCCAAGCGCACCTGAATATCTTGTTTCAATGGAGGGGAGCTTCGGCGCGCCATTCGCTTTAAGACTCCTGCCGCGGACGCAAGGAGGGGCTGAGGCGTGCGGATTTAGGGTTTTGGTTTTAAGGGTTTAGGGTTTATGGTTTAGGATTTAGGGTTTAGGGTTTAGGGAGTAGGGTTTAGGGTTTAGGGTTTAGGGACTAGGACGGCTTTAACTTGGAGGTTCTCCTTAAAACATTGGGCCCACCTATCCTATAGTAGAAGCCAGAAAGTTGGAACATGGGCTCAGGAGGATTAGTGCTAGGACCCCTTATGTTTTACCTTAAGGGCATGAGGATAGTCATGTTCCAACTTTCTGGCTTCTACTATAGTAAGGCCTTGTTTTGGGTTTGGACATGCTTCTTGGGATTCTGGGCGTGGGCGTCCACAGGGAGGTTGAAGTGCCGAACTGCCTAGATCCCGGCCCAGTACTGATGGTGGGCTTGGTGTTGACGTGGCCAAGCACCCGTTCAAGGAGGACTGGCGCTGACTTATTGTATCGCTGCTTAGCATCTCTGGCGGCGGAGATTAGTGCGAGCACTCCCCCTTGTAGTTACCTTTTCTGTAGCCCTTCCTACTAAAACCTTCAATAAACCCTGCAAAAATGGTTAGGACCCTTCGCTCCTAACAGCTTGAACCCCAAATCCTTAGCCCTAAACCCTAAACCCCAATATCAGGGTTTAGGGTAACCCTAAACCCTAAACCCTAAACCCCAAACCCTCAACCCTTCGCTCCTAACAGCCTTCATGCTGTATGTTGGCGCCGCGGTCTTCTGGTGAGTCGCCACGGCGTCGGGAGGCTTTGAGCAGCAAAGGCAAGGCTGGGCGGCCGGCACAAAGAGTTTAGGGCGCAGGAAACAGGGTTTAGGGTTTAGGGTTCAGGGCCTGGGGTGTAGGAATTCGAATGTGGGGGGTTCAGGGAGCAGGAACTAGAAGTTCAGCCGCTTGGGGTTCAGGAATTAGCCAGGGAAGGCGCTTGAGGATAGGGGGGAAAGGGGTGTGTTGCGGTTTCGGGTTCGTGCTTTTGTGGCTGAAGGGCTTCGGGTACCCGCGATGTGCTCGGAGTTTCATGTTGAGGTTTCGGGTTCGGGATCTGGTGCAGGACTTTGGGGTCGATTCAGTTAGGGTTTAGAGTTTAGGGTTTAGGGTTTAGGGTCTAGGGAGCTTAGGATAGCCGTAGTGGCTCGAGGTTGGTATAAGCACCGTCAGTCTGGGCACTTCGATCTACAGCCTGACTTATAGCCGGCGTGCTCAGTCCATTGATCCTTTAAGTAAGCCTCTATCCCCTATCCTGGCTCACGAGCTAGTGACTTGTGTTACGTTTCAAGCGTTGAGCCACCCGCCTCAGAAACCCTTCACCAGCAGGTTAATGTAGGGGCCTTAATAATTAGAATAGGGTTTTGCGGCCCATTATACTATAATTATATAAGGAAACCCCAAAATAGCATAGGAAATCGTTGAGGCCCCTATATTAAGATGAGGTGTAGGATTTGCTGCTCAGGGCTTCCGGGCCTGACGACGGATGTCGACGAATGTAAGGGAAGAAAACGGTTTAGGGTACAGGCTTTAGGGTTTAGGGTTACGAGACTACTGATCTCTGCCTATCCGTGTTCCAGAGTCACGATATCCATGAGATTCGGAATCTGAGAGCGTATCCCTTACAGTCCATGTGTATGTAAAGTAACGTCTGCTCAAAATACTAGCTCTTTTTATAGAGGCTTCTGTATTACATCCCCCAAAATATCATACCATAAGCTGTAAATCTCCAACGTGTCGGGGAAGAATGGCTTGCAAGGTAATTGATAGAGAAGCCTTCACAATTAAAATAGGGTTTTGGGGTCCTTTATACTATAATTAGAATGAGGAACCCCTGAAACCCAATTCTAATTATTCAGGCCCCTACATTATAGTAATTGAAGGGTTGAGGATATAGGGCGCCGGGACGGGGGGTCTAGGCTTTCTGGGCGTTGACGGCATTGGGGCTCAATGTTTAGGCTTCAGGGTTTGACAGGGTTTAGGGTTTAGGGAGTAGTTTAGGGTTTAGAGTTTAGGGTTTAGGTGAGTTGAGTCCAAGTTGGCTTCAGGTGTTCGGTTGCAGGTGGCGGCGCACCCTCGGCGCGCGAAGAACGTTGCCTGCCGCGGCTAGCATGGGTCTGACAGGAAGCTGCAAAACCACCTGAATTTGAACCCAACAAGCTAACTGCCGGAAAAGGGGCCCAGTTCTATCTGTTGAATAAGCTTTTGGGAAATATTCACCAGAATTTATTTGGGAACACTCTTACAATTTATTCCTAGCCCTCTATGAAGCCCCACACCCTAGATGAACCCGGAGCTAGAAACGCAAAGCTTCGAAGCCCGAAGCAGGCACTTCAGAAACCCTCAACCCCTAAGCCCCAAGCCCTAAAGGTGGCCTCCATAACTAGCATAGGGTTTTGGTGTCTACTTTAGTATTGTCATAATAAACACCTCCCAAAATAGTTTAGGTAATTATCAAGGCCTATACCATCTCAGAACCGAGAGTTTGGCTCTGGGATTAGGGCCTGATTAGGGTTTGGGGCTAAGGGTTTGGGGTTTCGGGTTTAGGGTTTAGGGTTAGGGTTTGGGGTTTCGGGTTTGGGGTAAGACTAGTAAATCCCAAAGATTCCAACCACATTCAAGCATATCTTGTATTGTACATGTATCTTTATATCCACTCCCACCAATTTCCCTTAATTCCCATGGTTTAGGGGTAGGGTTCCGGCAGCACCTCGTTCTGTACTTCCCCGACCCTAGCACAGTCCAGCCCCAGAGCCTTCAATACGTTCGTAGAGCCCAATAGATCTCTGAACCCAAGCCCTAAATCCCTAAACCCTAAAACCCTAAACCCTAAATCCCTAATTAAACCCTGAAGCCCTAAAGCCATAAACCCTAAATCCCTAAACCCTCAAGCCCCGAGGCCCTGAAGCCCTGAAGAGAAACCTTGGCCCAAGCTCCAAACCCGAGAAACGCTGAACGCTACCTGTAAAACCGAACCCGAACTCAAACCCAAAAACCCTAAGGCCACTGAACTCCGAACCCCCAAGTGCCAAATCCTGAAGCCCCAACCGAATAGGATACTACTAGCCCCACTTATGAGCTACATACTACTGTAAGACCCCCCCCCAAAGCCCTAAACCCCAAAAGCCACCCTAAACCCTAAAACCCTAAAACCCTAAACCCTAAACCCTAAAACCCTTAAACCCGAAACCCTAAACCTTTAAGCGCAAACCCCTGACGCCAAGGGCTCCACCGAGCCAAGCGCCCAGGGCTTCCACGGGGGACCCGGCAGAAGTGGAGTCGCCTGGGACGTGCAGACAGACGCTTCCTGCAGGGGTTCGGGCGGTTTGGGGTGTAGGGTTTAGGGCTTAAGGTTTAGAGTTTTAGGCTTTAGAGCTTAGGGTTTAGGGCTTAGAGTTTACGGTTTAGCGTTTAGGGTTTA